AGCTTGTTACCTTCGCTGCCTTTGCCGCCACTCTCACGGCTGTTGTTCGTGCGGAGCTCTCCATCGCGTCCCCGTATGTCTCTCGCATGTTTGTGCAGGATACAAGCTGAACTGAACCCCTCTGCAGGTTCGGTGTTGACCGATGTCACCCCAACAACATCTGGTGGGTGGGCGGAACGCGTGAGTTTCTCTCTTTCTCTCACGCCGAAGTGAGCGCTAAGACAAAATCTTTCGAATACAGCTCCTTACACTTTGGTAAGTAACTTTTGGGGCCAGCTATAATACCAGTACTCACCTTTCGATCGTCCTCCGTCCTATCACGACCAGACGTACGTCCAGCATTAGTCCATTGCCCGCGATAGTGTACTCAACCTTTCACCAGCATGCACCTCGATTCCACCTTCCCGGACGGATTCCCTATTGGGATCTGGCCGAACATCCAGAACACGCAAATCGATGTGGATGTCGACCTTCCTGAAGGTGAGTCATTAGACAGCAATTCAGACCAGTGTTATTGAGGTCAAGTACTGACCTCTACTTCGCTCACAGAAACCAAGGTTGTATTTACCATTAAGGACAAGACAGGCGCGAGTTCTCACACTTTGCCGGTTCCTGTTCTCCACAGTAAGTGTTCGAACGATTCGAACTCACCAGCAGCCTGTTGACGCCTGTAACCTTGCAGACCCTACCGGGTGCTAAAGTGTGAAACGAGTCGGGGTCTAAGAGTAAATAGTGGTGGTACTGACGAATAATGAGGAGTCTAATGTGGTTTTCCGTATGGAGTTCTGTACTCGAGATTGTCGCGAGTTATTTCATCATGACAAAGTCCGGGTTCTTGAGTGAGAATTCGAATGCAGGCGTCAGGTCCTGTGCAGTGCGCTCGGAGTTAGAAAAGCCACATCCAACTGAGAGTCACCACTTCCACATACCTGGAACTTGGAGAGTATGACACCATAGAGCCGACCTCAGGTGAAGTTCCTGTGCGAGCATTGTGACCCGATCCTGCTAGTAGTCTCGATACGAGCGAAAAGTCCGAATCAATGTGTGACCCTGCAAATTCAACGGGTTGACCTTTCGAGTCTCCAGGCAGGCTCTTCTCTCCTTCGACACACGATAGGTTGCCAATGCCGTTCAACGAGACCCTACCGTATAGTGATGGGATTGCGGTCTCTTGCTTTTTTGGCCGTCGTTGTAGGAAGCAAAGGAGTGTAACATTGCCCGCCGAAGTTGGAAGTGAGTGAGTGTTCGATAGTATCATACCCCTAAGGTAGGGAACGAGGGTGCAAGGCTGGCCTGATTACTGACGGACAAAACCTATCGGAGTCGTGGTCCAAAGCGACTTGAAACAGGGCTATCCCGATGCCTTCGTATACTAGATCCAGAGGAGACACGCTGTATTTATAATTTGATACTGGCGACGCAGTATTTTCGATGCAGAAACCACGGGATGACAGGACGCTCGAGTTGCAAAGAGGCCCGCCCTACTTCGACTATTCAACCCAGCCTCCAGTTGAGTGCTGGCTGACGCTTCATTAGTCATCTAAGAGGTGCATTGGCCCCAGATTTGACATCCGTTTTGCCGTGTCTGTATACTAGAAAAATTGACGCGGTAGTAGGTAGCTTTCCAAGTAATAGTTCAATATTCAATCCAAGAGAACCTAGACTTGGGCCGTGGGAATGGAAACGTCATTACTCGTGCGCGTGAGATAATAGGATAATAGGGGTCAAACCTTCCCAATTTGCTCACCGACCACCATCATTACCATCGTGACCGTGAAAGTCCTCGTTTCCAGTCATCGCCTGTTGCGTCTCGAGGACTTTTTTTGGATCGCGGACACCGTGAAGTTACCCGCGCGCTATTCGCCTCACTACAACTGTATGTACTAGGGAAGCTCCACGAAAGATGAATATCATCTCGACTGCTAACCACGACACCCGAGCCTGCCAATATGATTATCACGTACCGGTTCATCTAAACTGGCATTGTAGTCGTTCAAAATCATGCCGCTCAAGGATGGCAGAGCCTCAAAGCGGGGACCCCAACGTTTCGAGGTGCTTTTGCGGCACTCCAAGTATACTGTGCACATGGATCAGATGTGAGTCTTTCTTTACATGATCACCGCATTGCTCAGTCCTCCCGATCTCATTGAAGGCGAACAATCAGAGCTCCAAACGTTTAGCTCATTCTACAGCCAATACACTCCACAATATAGACAGAATCATAGGCGGTTACAGCAGGCCAAGTTAGCGGGCTTACGCAAACACTTCCTCAGGACGTATAAAAACGAGGGAGAGACTAAACGATTTCTTCAGTCACCTTTTATCTTCTCCACTATCACTGCAATGAAATTCCTCGCTCTCACCTCGATTGCTGCTGTTGTCGCCGCTGTTCAGGCTCAGCTCACTATGAACACCCCGTACGGATCCTGTTCCCCACGAGTCACTCCCGAACTGACCTATGTCCTCCGCAGATCCAATCTCGTTCATTGCCAGCCTGCTCAACTTACCTGGTCGGACGGGCAAGGTGAGTCAGATTTGCTCAACTCATGCATGCTGATAGTAATTCTCATCGACATAATCCTCCTTAGCACCCTACTATCTGGTGAGTGACCGTGTTTGACGCGGAAGGTTAGGCTGATCCCAATGAATAATTCTATTATGTCGTAGTCGTACGTGGTCTCTCCTGTTCGTTTACTCTTGCTCACCGCCGCCTTTGCACAGTGTCCAGGATGGCAAGAACCCAAGCGGCCCTGCCTTAAAGCAACTAGGAGATAAGATTCAAGAAAACAAATTCACCTGGACGGTGGACATCGCCGCTGGTAAGCTGAAAGGTTCCATGCCGACGTAAAGCCAAACTAAGATGGCCCGGTTCTCAGGAACTTCGGTTAGCTTCCTACTCAGGGATAACAACGGCGCGACCTCGCAGACTGCCCCGGTGACCATACAAGAAGGATGTGAGTCTGTCTCTCAATATATAGAGTTTTGAATGGGAGGTTGACAAACCATCACAGCCGGAAATTGCTGAACGCTAAGCCGTTCCACCTGCGTTTTTTTTCGCTATATGATATGTTTAAATGCATGGAATATGCTTGAATTGATGTAAATCGAAATTGATCTCCTCGCTTTCTCCTGCTTTGACTATGCGTGTGGAACATTAGGGAGAAGTTCAGTTGCCGTACTCGGTGACTCGTTCGACTCCACTAATTGTGTCGAGATACAGCCTGGTAGCACAATAAGAGTTTCACTCATTCCAATCGGAAGGAATTAGGGGAAGAATTTCCCGGTTGGGTTCACAAACGATGGTCCGATCTAATGCCACGTCTGATTCAGATAGTACTGATACTTAGAAGGACGAACGGAACCGTGAGAAAACTCAGCCACAACCTATAAAGCTTCGAGCGAACCCGAAGTTCTGTCCTCATGTTCTCTCAAATTCAAGCCGTGTTCACCATGGTATGTCGTTGAGTCACTAAATTGAAGGTATGACAGGAGCTTTATGGGATCTTTGAAATATTGTATTGGATCCTTCCGGCGTCACGCCCGCTCGCCTCGTTCTTGAATCTCGAAGCACACTGGGGGGGCGAGGCAATAATGAATGCATCACCATTGACAGTGAATATGCTGTACTGAATTATTGCGAAGCTTCCGTGGCCATCCCGCAGCCCCGAGAAGCGTCACAGAGGCTCAGCTGCCTGATCCAATTCCCACTGTGCGAATCAAACTCTACTCTTTATGACAATGATTTGGCGAACCAAGTACAAGGCTCGTAACTCGAAACGGACATTTTAATCTCTGATTGTATATGGAGCCTCACGGCCTTTGAGACAACGGCGCACAGCGCTATACTTACATGGAAGCATGATTAAAAGCGATCTTACGACTAGGCATAGTCTCTGAACTCAGATGTGCAATCAATATAGGCTATCATAGGTTCCTCATCATACGACCGCTCCGCAGTTCATTCATTCAACAACAACACCACCCCAAGAATAGCTGTGGATGTTACTTGAAGAAATGATCGTTACCTTGTTATTGAGTGCTTTCTCGCAATTTCCATAGAAAGAACGTTCTTACGAAAACGTCATTCCAGACATATAAAGGAGGACAGTTGTGAGCGGTCTCATCAAGCCCTCGCTCTTTTCGCTTCTAGTCTTCTACCAGTCAGCCGCTGCGGAAACATGAAGTCTCTTGCCCTCGCTACTGTCGCTGCACTCTTCGCTATCGCGGAGGCTGCGGTCACGATCAACACGCCGTACGACCACCTAGTCTCCCTCGTGGGGTTGCCGACCGTCTGACCGTCCGTGTGTATAGTAACAACCTCGTCCAGTGCCAGCCGGCACTCATCACCTGGAACGGTGGACCAGGTAAGTGGGGAAAGCCCACGCTGCACTCTTCGACAAACTGACTCGAAGCTTCACTCCCGTAGGTCCCTTCACTTTGGTACGCTTTTCAATCTTGTCCAAGTGGACGCGTCGCTAATCTAGTCATGTCTAGTCGTGCGTCACGACGTCTCTTTCGCCCCGCCGTCGTTGGCTCACTCTCAATATTTTGAAACAGCATCAAGGATGGTAACAATCCCGCTGGACCTGATCTTGAGACGTTCCCCGGACTCCAAGGTGACTCTTTCACCTGGAATGTCGATATTCCTGCCGGTGAGTTGTGTCAAAGCTTATGTGATTTGACTGTTCTGACGCTCTTGTTACCAGGTCGTTCGGTCGGCTTTCTCCTTAGGGACAGCACTGGCGCAACTGGCCAGACTGCTGCAGTGACAATCCAAAAAGGAAGTGAGTCCCCGTGTTTGTTGTCCCGGCTTGCCGATATCGTTCGATAACTATATGCTCACCTCAAATTTCAAGCTCAAACCTGCTAAGATCTTGTGGATGATACATGTCCGAAGAAGTGAAAGTCATTATGTAGCAACATCAGTCTCAATACGAAAAGTCAGTAAATAAAGTGCGTCAAATGGCAATATATGCTTGTAAATCCTTAGTCAACCACAATCCCTGGTAGTATATCGGTTAGTACACGCGCCTGTCATCAGTCTCGGACGCGCGAAAGCTGGGTTCGACTCCCAGCCAGGGAGTTTCAAGAAAAATTTTTGTCTTCACAATCTGCTAGGGAGTTTTTCTGAATGGTTGGATATGCAGGAGGCCCGCAGCACAGGAGAATGCATCAACGCACATGAGTCTCGAAGCTCCCCTTCCATCCCATCGTTCTTCGCCATGAAAATAAATCTTGTCCTCAGCACCAAGTAGTTACCCTGTATCTGCCGTGTACTAGGTACAGGACCCGAACAGGGTCGTGATCCATCATTGCGCCCGGGATTCTTGAACAGCAATGACTCTTCATACACATACTAGCACCGCAGCTTTCTTGATGAGCTTTTGAGATGATAATTCTGTAACAAGGAGCCTTGAGAGCGCTCGAAATCCGGTGGAGTCTATAGAGGGTTATAGCAGTGCATAGTACCTTTGGGCTCGTGGGAAAGGTCCCGAGCCCCGACGCGGACGCGCTTTGAGGCGCGTGACCACGTGGCCGTGAAAAATTCTAGGGTCTGACGTCGGTCTCGGTAGGCTGTCCACAGCCACGGGCATTGTCAACGGTCCCAGCTCTTTCCTCAACCACCACCACCTCAGGTTTGCTCTCCAATTGCCACTCAAGTTATTTGATGTGCTTATAAGGTCTATCTGTTAATCCTCCTATTCGAACCATCATTTCCTTTTCTAGACCGCTCGGTGACCGGTCTGGCTTTCTCGGTTTCGTGTCGTCTGCTACCACTTGGAGCTGCGCACAACGACGAGTCCGGCAGAAACGACCAAGGAAAAGGCTCTTCGACAATGTTCGACCAACTTATGCATATCTCTCAACCATCCTCCTCGAAATTTCCGCTTGGCGAGACCGCTCAATCACTCCCCGCATACGACTCCATACCGGAATCCGACATTGCTGACCATTACTACGACAACCTGCTGGCACACGAACAGGAGACGTTATCATTTGATCTTCCCGATGCACCCCCTCCGCGTCCTGATAGTCGGTTAGATTTCAATCCCACTGAGAAGCGAGAGGAGGAAGTCGAGGAACCACATATGTCTATACTCGGACCCAGGCCACTTCGTTTTGAGTGGACAAAAAGTTTGTTCCAGAAGATTGGGATACGTCGCCCCTCCCACGAGAAAGGCGCGAATACGAGCCTTCCGTCTCCAGAAGCTGAACCCTCACCGTCATCATCTCGGACGACCCATCTTCACACTTCCCGCTCACCCCCACACTCATCCTTACAATCGTCACCTGAACATGACATCTTGTTCGACGACGTGACCTTCGCGTTTTGCTTCTCCGACGAAGACGACGAAACGGACGACGAGACAAGTGACGAAGAGTCCGAACTTGATCTTGACAATCTGTCACTGTCGGATTTTGACTTGCAGGAGTCTGATGGACAAGTGCCCTCGTCGGTAGTCGGAACGACGGTCGGGCGTTCCTCATCTACACTCGCATCATCAGACACCTCTCTTCCAACTGAAGCTTTGGACGACTCCTCAATGGCTACCTTACTATCCGACGAGTCTCATACTGTCAAGCCAAGGTTTTCTTACCAGCCTTCTCAACTCTCGCCCAAGTCGTTTTGCAAATCTCGTTCGCTCTTCGCCTCGCCACAACCTCAACGACACAACTACCAACACAGGGGCCACTCTCGGCACGCCCTGAATCACCTCAAGTGGTTCTGGGCGACACGCGAGGAGGAGTGGGCTCAATACGAGAACGCTACTCGGGCGTACGGCGGTATCTCCACCTCACCAGAGCTTTCATCTTCATCCTATGTTTCACAATTTTCAGGGCTGTTCGCGAGCGCCCGCACCACAAAACCCAATCATCGGAGGAGTGCAAGTGCTCCGTGTTCGCCGGTACCTTCAATGCCTCCGATGACAGTGCATCCGAGATGGGGTGATCTGTCGGGGTTGAGGGACCCTTGGTGTGTCCATATGGATAGGTACTTTGTTGAGGTACCTATGTGGAGGATTAGGAAGTCGCTCTGGACGGCTGATCTGCAAGTCTTGAGTGTGGTGCATCAGCGACTGCGAGAGGACACGGAGGACTCCACTTCCTCTACGGATGACGAAGACGGGGATACCGAGTCGCTGATGCAGATGTCGATGCTGACGGGCCTGAGCGACGACTCCGACCTGACCCTCGTAGACAGTGATTGCGAGGGTGACGTTGGGAATGCCTCTCCAAACTCCGATGAGAGTGGATCGGCCTCAGGGAAACAGAAAGAGAAGTCGTTGGACCAAGGTCGTGATGAAGCAGAGCAGGAGTACTATGAAGATATAGACCTCGATGAACCGTCCACTTCGTCTTACGGTGGTCCGTCAGCCTCGTCTTCTTCGTCGTCCTGCCGCTACACGCTCTCTTCGAGCAAGTCGTCACTCACTTGCTTTGACACCCCTTCTGTTCTTCCCTCTCAACCGGCTCTCAGTTTCCATCCTCCTTACGCACCTCGGTCACCAAGTGCTCCCTTCTCGGGTAAACTAGAACATTCTTGGGCTACCAACTGGTACCAGAGATCGCAGCTTCTTCTACAGTTGTTGACACTCGAACAAGAGAGTCGGAACAACTCATTATCTCGGCTCACTTCTGAAGCTGACAGTGAAATGAAAGGGCAACGATCCACCTCAACGGCTGAGGACGTGACCAATGTCTCCAGTTCGTTCGACTCACGGATGCAGTCAAGATCACGGACCGTCTCGGTTTAAGATTCTTTCCACCATAATACCATGCACGCATCATCCATTTCTCATGCATCCCTCATCCCCACAAGTCAGTTTCTAGATTTGTATGATCATCTTGCAACTTGTCGCCGAACTCCCTGCACTTACGCAACATATGTCTGCTCTAGACACGCACGACTCTATTTATCCCGTCTGCATCCCACAGCAACATTCCCTGTCTTCCATTCCCGACCGCGGCTACGATTTAGAGCTTCGCTACAAACCCTCTTTTGATGCATCTTCATTTCTCTAACCTCCGCACCCCTGGCCCTCCATCAACATCCCTCCCCCTTTCCTTCACAATTGACGCTTACCTCTCTTACCGCAAATTCGTTTGGGCTTTTTCGGTTTTGAGACTTGCTTTGTCGCCCCGCTGTCCATTGTCATATACAAATTGCATACTACCCACTACTCATCTAGCATTTAGCTGTCTGTCTTGCATTATTACCATCGTACTATGTTTACACTACTGGCCTTTAGGCTGTATTAGGGTACATTTTCCGGCTTATGAATTTAACGACCTGTTATGACCGTCTTTTCTTGCCTTAATCAAATTGTTCGACCTTAATGAAAGTTGTAAGCGGCTTCCGGTGTCAAGCCCAAGAAAGGCTCGAAGACGTTTGTCCCCCGATGACCACGAGGACAACTTCAGCTCGGTGATGCACAGCAAACGCTCAACTGGTTTCTCGCGCCCACTACCACCACCCACTTACCAATGGAATCAGCAGAATCCAGTACGCCGCCCTGGCAAGAAACGCCTCTCGCTCAAGCTCTAACATTTCTTCCTGTCCTCGGTGCATTCTTGTGGAAAAGCACCCTTTACATTCTCCAAACGCTCGTTTATTACCCACTGAGCATTCTCCGAATACCGGTTCTAGCACCCTTCGCAATCCTCTTGTATGTCTTCGCGCCCGCGATAGTCTTCGTGCAGGTCATCTTGGATGTCGTCGTTTTCATACCATACCGTGCATGCGTGTACTTTGTGGACGCGTTATACCCGTTATACGTGTTCTGTGGGGTCGCGTGCATCACTGGCGTGCTCATTGGAGGGCTAGGGAGAGCGTTGGCTTCATGGACGACGATGATAGCCATGGATATCACCAATCCGCGACAGGAGAAAGACGATGTGCATGAAATTGAAGGAGGACTGGAGAAACCACAGCTGGAATTCACGGAATAAGCGGGAAAGTACGTGGGATTTGTTCTTCGCCCTTTCATTTCCTCATTTTGTTTAGCTCTTTAGGTTTGATAGGTCTTCCGGACGTTCCTTGTACGCCATTGTACGATAGATAGTATTCTACCTTGTTCCTCATAAGTGTACCAACATTCAACGTATTCAACATCCACAGACTAAGCACTGACACCATGTTTCCATGCCAGGGATGACATTCGCCACTGTCGCATAGACCAGTCAACGTGATATCTGGTTGAATATAATCCGTGTTCCAAAGGCTTAGGACTATGAATTTATCAATACGCTGTAATATGTACGAGAAAGAGAGAAACCAGAAGCAAGAGTGACAGAAGTATGAACGTGGGGGAGAAATCAATGCAAAAGAAAAAAAAGGGGCGGGGACAGGACGGACGAGTAATTTTGAGAAGGAGAGTGCGAATAAGAATAGCAGTAAAGACAGACTCAAGGCGTCCGACTCCTTCATAGTTGACCAAGGAGGTTCGCAGGTAAGTAGATAGACAATCGATCATATAATTCGACAGATACCAGAGACAACAGAAAGAAAGGAAATATTAACCGGAAAGCGTAGTGGATCGACAGGTGGGGCGTGAGGGGTGTCCGGGAAATCACTGGGAAACAAGATACAAAAGCGGCTCAAGCCCATACCTAAACAGGGATAAGTGTATTAGCAACAATCAAATCACTGATGTCTCATTGAGGATACGAACCCTAAGTGTGCTGTCCCAACTGCCTGTGCACAATGCCATTCCGTCGACAGAGACACCTAAACAGCTCACACGGTTTTCATGACCGGTCAGGACGCCCACGCGCTCTCCCTTGAGGGTGTCCCAGACATTACATGTCCAGTCGTCATATCCACCGAACAAGATTCGCCCTGAGATGGAGAAAGCTACGGATGTTATACCACAGAGGATGTTGTCGTGAGTGAATGAGTTGAGCTCCCGATCAGCCCGAATGTCGAATAGACGGCAAGACGCATCATCGGAGCCCGTGGCAAATGCATCACCATTGGGGAAGAACCTTGAAAACGTCAAGTGTCAGCGTAATGAAAAAAATGATGGTATGGGCTCAGGGTACTCACTGGACGGCGTTGATATCCGATTCATGGCCAGTAAA